ACTCAAGATACAACCGAATTTAAATTACCTGCAGCACTGGATAGCGAACCACAAGGTTGGTGGTTCACGCCTACCAGCCATTCCTCAAAAACCCTATACAGGGTTGCTATGAGTTGGAACAGATTCCATGGCATTTAACAACAACAACAATCCTGCCTCATTAAAATCATAAAGGTTAAGGTTTATAACACATAGGACAATTATATTAGATAATCAAATGGATGCTAATTATAATACTGAGAATCATGGTCTAGCCAAGTTGACACACAAATTTGCAACACATAGCTTTCCACTGAGGGATGAATATTGAGTGCTCATGAAGTGTATTGGCTAAGAATCAAACCTGGGTCTACTACATGGAAGGCAAGAATTCTACCGCTGGCCCACCAGTGTTATGAAAGATTGAAAAGCACATACGCTATTCCATTTCCTACATGAGTTTGGTGGAGGAGACAAGATAAGTACTTACAGATAAGCCAAATGTTGTTATTGTTAAGTGCTGTCAAGTTGGTTCCAACTTATAGTGACCATGAATAGGGTTTCTGAGGAGCTGCTGGTGAGTTTGAACTGCCAACCTTGCAGTTCAAATAAACAAATAGAAAGCGATTTAATGTACCTCACTATGTACTTAACAAGTAAAGGACTTTGGTGAGTAAACCAAATCATTCGTGTAATTCTTAGTAACAATTTCAACTTTATTTCAAATGAAACTGAATAAAGTATCTAAGTGACTTATAAAACGATACCACCAAATCTCACATTTTAAAAACAACAAAAGCATATTATAAGCAGCTTAGCAAGTTGTGCAGAGCAAATACAATTGGGAAAATTCAAACTGCTCATGCTGTTTTTTCTCCAGCATATTTGGAACTCTTTAATTTACTTGGAAATCGAGTAATCAGAATCACCACAACAATCAGGAATCATCTGGTTAAATTATACCTTTATTGGTGCAAGAACTATATATAAAGCCTAAACAAAAATCAAAAGATTGTCATAGAAAGTACTTGTAGTGGATAGCTGGCATAATTAAATTTTGTTCTTAAGTTAATCAAATCAATTAATTTTATAATAAAATAAATGACCCTTGTTGATTTCACTAGGTAATTGATGAAACCGTTATTTTGCTTGTGTTTCACATTGAAGTGGTCTTGATTACTATAAACTGTAAATCCAAAAACATTCTTTGTGATTGAGAAATATTCTACCTACACAGCTCTGCCAAAATAATTCTGTGTTGAAAGAAATACAGCCAGAGTGCTCTTTGGAAGCCAGGTGGCTAGACTTCATCTCTCATGCTTCAGACATGTTGTCAGGAGGGACCAGTCACTGGAGAAGGGTATCATGTTTGGTAAAGTGGAGGGTCGTAGAACAGGAGGAAGACCCCCAGCAAGATGGACTGGCAAAGTGGCAGCATCAATAGGCTCAAACATAGCAACAATTGTGAGGTTGGCCCAGGATCGGGCAGTGTTCCGTTCTGTTGTGCATAGGGTTGCTAGAGTCAGTACTAACTCGATGGCACCTAACAACAACAACAATATACAGCTATGTTAAAACTTGTGTCCAGACTGATTACAAATCATAATCAAAAGCATTTGAGAAGTCTGTATGAAAAGCAAGAAGAATTTTAACACAACTCTCTCCTAGAAAGGAGTCCTGGTGTAGCTCTGTAAGATAAGCACTAGACCACAAGGTCCATTTGAACTACAAGATTGGTGGTTCAAAGTCACCAGCTGCTCTTCAGAAAACCTATACAGGGTCGCTATGAGCTGGAACCGACTTAATGGCAATCAACAACAACATCTTATAGAAAGTTGATCCAAGAGAATGCAGAAATTTGCAAACAAGATCATTAATATCACAAGCAATTAGAGTTTTTGCTGAAGATAATTAAAAATAGTTTAGTAGTACATTGACAGGGAATGCCAGAAATTCTAGCTGGATTCAGAAGAAAAAGAATGAGGGATATCATTGCTGATGTCAGATTGATCTTGGCTGGAAGCAAAGAGTACCAGAAAGATGTTTACCTGTGTTTTATTGACTATGCATAGGCATTCAGTTGTGTGTCTCATAAATCATGGGTAGTATCGTGAAGAATGGGAATTCCTAACACTTAAATTGTACTCATGTGGAACTTGTACATAGACCAAGAGGTAGTTGTTTGAACAGAACAAGGAAATACTGTATAGTTTGAAATGAGGAAAGGTGTGTTTCAGGGTTGTATCCTTTCACCTTATCTATTTATGTCTATATGTTGAACAAATAATTCGAAAAACTAGAGTACATGAAGAAGGCAGCATCAGGATTGGAGGAAGATTCACTAATAGCCTCTCTGGTAGCACAGTGGTTATGAATTGCGCTGCTAGTCTCACGGTCAGCAGTTTGAAACTAACAGAAGAAAGAGGTTTTCTGCTCCTGTAAAGATTTACAACCTTGGAAACCCTGTACAGGGTCACTATGAGTCGGAACCAACTCCATGGCGCATAACCACAACAATAACAACAATATTCAGATGACACAATCTTGTTTTCTGGAAGTGAATAGGACTTGAAACACTAACTGATGAAGATCAAAGGCTATATATATACTTCTATATGGATTAAACATTAAACAAAATATTTTACAACTCGTTAAATCATTAACATTGTGATAATGGAGAAAATATTGAAGTTGTCAAGGATCTCATTTTACTTGAGATCCACAATCAGTTCATGGAAACACCAGTTAAAAAATCCAGTGATATATTGTTGTTGTTAAGTGCCGTAGAATCAGTTCTGACCCACAGTGACACTGTATAGGGTTTCCAATGAGAAGCCTTGCAGTTCAAATGGCTTTGCATTCTAGTGCATTAACCCAAAGCGCCACGCCAGTATTACATCAGGCAAATCTGTTGCAAAAGGCCTTGTTAAAGTGTTAAAAAGCAAAGATGTCATTTGAGAATGAAGGTGCCCCTTACCCAAGCCATGCTACCTTCAGTCACTTAATATGCATTGAGTGGTAGATAATGACCAAAGAAGAATGAAGAAGAATTGATGCCTTTGAATGATGGAATTGATGAAGAATATTGAATATATTTCTGGGGCTGCCAGAAGAATCTGTCTAGGAAGACCAGGCAGAATATTCCTTAGAAGTGAGGATGGTGAGACTTTGTCTTTGTACTTTGGACATTTTATGAGGCAGGACCAGTCCCTGGAAAAGGGCATTATGCTTGGAAAATTTGTTGTTGTTGTTGTTAAGTGCCGTGGAATCAGTTCCGACTCATAGCGACCCTGTACAAGGTTTCCGAGGCTGTAAATCTTTACGGGAGCAGAAAGCCTCATCTTTCTCCTGCGGAACAGCTGGTAGTTTCGAACTGCTGACCTTGCAGTTCACAGCCCGATTCGTAACCACTACGCTACCAGAGCTCCTTTGCTTGGAAAAGTAGAGGGTCAGAAGACCCTCAGTGAGATGGATTGACATGTTGGCTGCCACAGTGAGCTCAAACTTAGCAATTATTGTGAGACTAGCACAGGTCTTGTAGTGTTTTCTTCTGTTGTGCATTGGATAGCTATGAGTGGGAACTGGCTCAACGGAACCTAATAACAACATCTTCTAAATGCAAGCCATACCAAATTTTCTTCTTTCTCTAGACTAGTGATTTTCCAGCAGCAAGTTTTAAAACATAATATTACAGAAGACCTAATATATAAACTGGTAATAGTTGAGCTGTTTCTTTGAGAGTAGGAGGAAGAGTAAGGTTACCTACTCCCTCTCCCAATTCCTAACCAAACCTGGGGTCCCAAGACTGGCTATAATCCCTGACTCTGGAGGACTCTTCTAGCAAAACTTTATTTCTGGACACATCATCATTAGTTTATGACATGGTTTTCTCACTTTCTAGTAAGTGAGCTTCCCAGTTATCATATAATTTTGAGTCGGAATGTATGATGCTGTGGAACTGAGGGACTACTGGTAATAATGCCTTTTTGTTGTTGTTGTTGTTGTTATGTGCCACTGAGTCAGTTCTGACTCATAGGATCTCTCTACAGGATTTCTCAGCAGTGTCTGGTGAGTTTGCAGTTAAAAACCAATCTTGTGGTCCAGTCCTTAGCCTACTCCGCCACACCAGGACTCTGGTAATGATGCCAAAACTAAGTTATCTATTAAAACTGAGATCAGAGGACAAGAGAGAGCATTGGCTCTTTAGTCTTGGATTCCAGCTGTCTTTTACATTCAACTTCCTACCTACATTTCTCATACGCTGGTTGCTTAAACCTTCTTTCAAATGCCTTGAATTTTCCTCTTGTTTTTGCTTAAAATTAGTTCAATCTGTATTTATGCCATTTGCAATCAGCAAACCGTTTCTCCTCACTTATTGACTATCTTGTTTTCTGACGTTTAAAATATACAACAGTAGTAAAAAATTTGCTGTCTGAGTATTTTGTACATTAGTGATGTATGTCTGAGCGTTACAAATGTTGAGTAATGAGGTGAGAGCAATGCTGGCTTTGATGATCAAGGTTATGTATCATCTTGCCTGGGCCGTGATTTTCAGTGGGTTGCCACTTAGGTAATAATGTACGCATCTTCCATTTTGTGACCGGATGTAGTCATCATCAATTTTTACATAACAATTATTTTTGCATAATGACCAGTTTTGGGGACCTAACCATGTCATTAAATAAGGATAGGCATAGTCCTGTCTAATACAAATACCACAACCATGGAAGTGTTCATTTTTTCATAGCACCAACATTTATAGAAACTGTTCCATTTGAGAGGTTATAAAAATAAACAAGGCATAATCTCTGCAATTGTGAGGATGAGCATTTGATTAGAGAATCTGTATTGTTCAACCATTCTTTTCAACCCAAAAAAGAAATCAGTTTTATGGCTGTATATGCTTCTGTATGTTCAATGATTCTTTAGTTCATTTGAGTAAAATGTCACTAAAGGGAGATAAAGTTAGCATCTGGTATTAATATTACTTCATTTTTAATTTATTTAATTTCACTATCAAGGGAGATGACCTGACTGATAATTCCCTGGAGGAAAAATCAACTTCTGGAAGAACTGGAGAAATTGAAGATTATTCACAGGAAATATCTTACTTAGAAGAACTGGAGACACATAGATATTCAGTTTGGTAAGTGATTGCATCATTTCATTTTATTTTCAGAGTTAATTCTATTGAATTCATTCAATTTTTAAAATTCAATCATTTTATTATTAATTCATTTGACAAATAGTAATTTCATGGCTATTATATTCTGTACTGTGCCTTTGAGTTATGGTGTTGGAGGAGAATGTTGAAATTACCATGGGCTGCCAAAAGAACCAATAGATCTGTGTTGGAAGAAGTGCAGCCAGAGTGCTCCTTGGAGGTCAGGATGGCCAAACTTGGTCTCATACTTCAGACATATTGTCAGGAGGGACCAGTCACTGGAGAAAGACATCATGTTTGGTAAGGTCAGAGAAAAAGAGGAAGACCCGCCCAGCAAGATGGATTGGCAAAGTAGCAACATTAATGGGCTCAAGCAGGACAACAATTGTGAGGTTCGCCCAGGACAAGGCAGTGTTTCATTCTGTTGTCCATCGGATCACTATGAGTTGGTACCGACTCACTGGCACCTAACAACAACAATTAATACGTTGTACTATACGTGTCTTGATTCACAGTCCATTCAGGGATATAGATGTCAGAAAAGAATCAATGGGTTATGATAATGTTATCTTTTTAAGGACAACAAAAATGGGGCAGATGAAAGACCAAGTTTGCTTGAAAATGAAGTATTCTCAGAAAAAGGGAGAGTTCAGCTAAATTTTGACAAAGAAGTTGGCTGGAGGTAGACTACAGTGGAAAAACGGAGACTAATTGGTGTGGGAAGTGTTCAGAGTTAGAATTGGAAGGAGATTGATTGATGCATGCCATAAATCTTCTTTCACTTAAATATCTATCTGCTACTTCTGTTAAGTGCTTTTGAGTCAGTTCCGACTCATAGCAACTCTGTATAGGGTTTCTAAGGAGTGACTGGTGGGTTTGAACCACCAGCCTTGTGATTAGCAGGTTAACAGTCCAGTGCTTATTCCGGAGTGCCACACCATGACTCCAATATCCAAACAGGTCATATGTATTGCTTTCTTTTTCAGACTGTGTATATGTATGTGTCTGTCTGTGCAAACAGATGTAAACCAAGATAAAAATGAATAAAATGAGAGCACTGAATATTGTACCAGAAATAGTGGAATATTGTACCAGGCCAAACAGTAATTTATTTTCTGGTTCAAGAGAAGCAATCTTGTGCCTTAGAAGGATCATATAAGAAGGAGTACCAGATAGCTCAGAAGAAAAGAAACATTCATGTTTTTCTAGAAAGAAAAAGAACGATGTAACAAATGCCATTGTCAAATAAGAATTTGACATGCTTTCTGTTCTTAAGACATTTTCAGTTTGTGAGTCCTTAGGGAGAAAGTGACATATGTGCATTACATTTAATTCAATAAAATAACTGCCAGGATAGAGGTACCAGGTCCTTGTTATGGAATACAGGTAAGAGAGTTTGGACTTTTGCTGGGTTGCATGCTTAGTTCTGATTCCTGTTTTAGGTTCGTGTGGACTGAAAAACAGAGTTGATTAATCTCAGATTTCCTGCTCCTCCATTTGCCCCTGTTGCCTCTCTAGACTTTCTTTGATGAGTCACCTCAGAATGGCCTTTCAAAGTCCATTGTATGCATTTCACAAAGCAATTATTATTTTATACATATGAGAGGAATTCAAAAGGTTTGTGGGAAAACCGGAATTAAATGAGAATGGAAAATTTCCATGAAATTTTGAAACCCCCCCCCAGAGTTAAAAGGACTGAAAGTTTCAAAAGATCTTGAGGTTCAATTTCTGATTGATCATTGAAGAAGCTACTTTAAGGCATTTACACTGTTTTCATTGATGCTCTGCTATGTGTAGAATAGGGGTTGGCCAACTACAGCTACTGGGACTATCCCTAAATTCTGCTTGATTTTTCAATATAGTTTTATTGAAACTTACCTTCACCCATTTGGTTATGTATGGTTATGACTGGTTAGCTATAAATATCAGAACTGAGAGGTGAATGATAGACAATATGGCCCACATCAAATCAAGAAAAGGAAAATCCAAGAAGATTATGAAAACTTTAAAGTTATGATGAAATTGATGAGAAAAACCACACAAACACACACACACACAAAGGAACTCAGCACAGGAAAGCATGCAGAACAAAGAAACCAGCAGCACCACCAAAAAACAAACACAATAATCACAGCAATTAATCCACACCTAGCAATGATTACTGGAGTCCTGGTGTGGAGCTGTGGGTTAATGTGCTCGACTGCAAAGCCAGTTTGAACCTCAAGGTCAGAAGTTCAAGCTCACCAGCTGCTACTTGGAAACCCTGTACAGGGTCACTATGGGCCTGAACTGATTTGATGACACTTAACAACAACAAGAATATCCATCATTACACTGAATATAATTAAATGCACCAGTTAAGAAACAGACAATAGCAGAATAGATAAAACAGAAGGATCCTTCAATTTGCTGTCTACAGAGGCACATCTTACACACAAAGACAAAAATAGATGAAAAATTAAAAGGTGGAAAAATATAGCAAGCGAATTTCTATTAAAAACATGAGCAGGACTGTTGATATTAATATCTGATAAAATAACTTTAAGGCAAAACTCAGCATAATAGATAAAGATGGAGTTTTTAATATATGTATAAAATGCTTTATTGTGAACTATGCAATAGTTTACATGGGAAAACATTAGCTTTACATTCATCCTATCGTATATTGTTTACAGTGCCATGGTTACAATCCTCTCCATGCATCATCAAC